CACATTTAATGAAACTCACTGCTGTACCATTCAGCTATGTCTGGTGGGAGAATAATAACATGGTGATAGAGCATTAGGGTGGCCTAAACAAAAGGAGAGAGGGAAATTATAAAAATGGAAGTTATTTCTGGTTTCTTTCAGTTGTAAATTTTCTAAAATATTCATCGCTTTCTGTGGGCCCTGCACAGCACAATGATGTGGGCTCAAAGACTGAACTTATCAGCTATGATCTCCAGGTTCAGAGATGTGTCTAGCAAACAATTTTTAATGTAAGATGTTTGGCATGGGAGCAAAGGACCAAAATATCCAAAACTTTATCTCCTATACCTTCATCAACGAGATTAATTCAAGCAACCTTCTCAAAACTACCCTGCTGTAGGGTTTTACAGTAATATTTTTCACCATAATATTGGAACTTTGCCTTTACAAGCAACTGGAATTCTTGAGAGGAAATGGGTGAAATGGGATTTCCAAATGCATGATATCCAGTTTGACTAAACTGCATTCACTGATTTATCACCTATCTATAATAGGATAACACTGTGAAACAGAGAATTTCTATTAAAAACCTATGTTTTGAGAAGCAAATATATTATACTCCAAGTGTAGTGGTTAGATGGAGTAATATAATGTTTTGTTAAGCCTTGAAACTTTCTGAAACACCTAGCAAAGTATCATATGTAGCTATACCTAGGACATGCACAGATTAATATAATTTCTGGCCTTTGTTAATTATTTGTTTGAAGGCAATTTGTACTTAAGATTTCAAGGAAAACTGGATTTATTTTATTTGGAATTGAGAAGTATAATTACAAATTTTTTTTAAAAAAGTGCATATATGAGCATCAAATATAGTTGATAATTTAAACAATAAATAGTTCATGTGAATTTTTTAATAGATGTGTCAAACTTCTGTTGTGTTTGGTTAGCTCATCTGTAGATGTTAGTAGTTTCTATTTCATTATAGCATCAGAAATAGGTTTTGTAACACTGAAGGTAGTGGACTATATGACAAAACACTGTCCTGAATTGTAACTGAATAACTAAGGTTAAATATGCTGATATTTGGGCTGAAAGGAGGTTCAGTAATTACTGATTATAAATATGTTCAAAAATCCTACTAGGCAAAAGAGATACATTGAATCCTGACTAAGAAAGTCTGTATTCATATCGATTACAGGTTTCTGTTCAGACTTCAGACCTGAGGATTAAAATAAAATGTGCACAGTGCACATCACCAGATAAGTGCACATCACCAGATAACAACAACCTGACATTCTGAGTTATGCTACAGCTGTGACAGCAAATACAACTTGCTTTTGGCTTTGGGCACATAAATGAATTAAACTGTGGCAATTCAAGATGGTGGAAATAAAAAAGATGAAAATTGTAACAGATCTGAAAATCAAATTAGTGTTCAATCCAAGAGCAGAAAAATATATGTCTGCATAAATAGGGGTTAAATTTCCCAGACCTTCATTATATTTACTTCTTTTCCTCACAAATTTTCCAATGCACAGCTTGTTTATCTAACACAGCTGCCTCTATGGAATTTGCTTAAGGTTTATGCCCCTCTGTGAATCCATGACATAGACATATTGATGCTCTATTTGATGGTAACAGCTGATTCTTAACCTGCAATGCATTTGTCTGTTAGATTCCCTTCGGGAAAACTAGAACTAGAATATTGAATGTGTTTTCTTTAAGGAAAAAATTAATTTGTGTTAAATGAAGTACTGTAAGTATTTGCACTTTTAATTCACGTGTCCAAATAGATATGCAGTTTCCATGCTAAAATATCATTTGATACAACTGTAAGGGACAAAAAGAGAACAGGTCACAGAAATTCTTTCTAGCTACCAGTTTTCAATAAGATTATGAAGGGGCTGCTTCTGACCAAAGGTTTCTCTTTTTGGACTGAAATCTTAAAGTAGCTCAGAGGACTTGAGACACTTGGGACAGCTGATGTTTATGAGCTTGTACTGCTATAAATTGCACCATCCAAAATCTAGACTTTAATCTCAAAAGCTTTTAGTTTTGTGTTTCCAAAGTTAACTATGGAAGTGTGATTGAGTATAAACTGTGGCAGCAATATCCGCATCAATCTGAAGACAGGTCAAAGCAATTACTCTGAGGCTATTACACAATCTGGTTTTTAAGAGTACTTTTATGATCTTAAGCTGCAAACTATTTGTGATAATTTAAATATAAGTTTGGTTAATTGCTCCACCCTTGTTCACTGCATGCAAGGAAAACAAATATGGATGTGTTTTGAAAGCTTCTTATGAGAGATGTTCTAATAGAATTTGTGAGTATGAGAGTGCCATTCATAAACTGTTTTCAAAAGTAGCACACTTTTGAAAAACACTGAAGTTTAAACCTAATTTAAAGTGTACGATTTCCTATGAAAACATTTGTCAAAAGGAGGACGTTGGTTTACATCTTCAAGACAGCTTGATTGTTGAAGAAGAATTGTATTTTTAAACTTCACACCAGGTATGTGCTTTCCTACACCTGGATTCCAATTGCATTTGCAATCTAATGTGTGGAGTGTGAAATCTGGGAACTATAAGAATTACACTTACTAAACTAACAGATTTTCATTGTTTATTACCTAAGAGGTATCTTTTCTGTGAATAGAAGACCTCAGTGTCATTGTATTGCATCTGCACTCACTTTTACATGTGACACAGATATAGAACTTCCACTTAGGAGGAGATTCAGGGAATTAAAAAACAGAAAGAAATGGAGGCACTTACTGTGGGGAACCACAAGCTGCATCTACTGAAATTACTGTAAATTCTCTATGGCTGTCAACAAGCACAGCATTTCACCCTCTATTTGAGTGGAATAGGGTGGAATGGAATAGGATGATGTACTGCACTGCTGTTATGTATCACACAGGGAAGAATTTAATTTAGAAGAAAAAAGGGTGTATTAAGAAAAAGTATAATCTTTTTCCTAATCTTTGTCCGAACCAGGAGTGTGTTTACTCATTTGGGTCATATGGATAAGGACAAAGCTGAGATCCATGTGAACCACTGGATCCCTGGCTGGGATCACTACAGTACAGTATAAGGTGATACATTTCTGTAAATCATCATGGTCTCCCATGACCTTCTAATTTATTTTAATTTATTCTAATTTATTCCTGTCTGTCTTTGGAGACAGCTACTTTTGTAAGCTGATTATACTGTCTGTTTAAATTCGTATGGATTCGAAGAATCCTCTTTCTTAGTTTTAATAAAAGTTGATCATTTTGGTAAGAGATCCTCAGCTACTTTTTTGATGTTAGCATGCCACATACACTAAGGCTCCTAAGGTAGCCTTGTGGTTGCAGGTCCACCTGCAAGCTACCAGATGCAACTGAGAGGTGGTGGTATTCCCTCCAGCAGGCTGTGTGGACAGCTGGGCTGCCAAGACAAGTGAGGAGGCTTGTCTCTGCAGGAAACTCCCTAGAAGCATAGTGAAGATCCAGTCCAACTTAGTGAGCACATCTTCCTGACAAGAGAGGTGTCTAGAGAGCAACTTTTTCTCATTAGGAGGGGTAGTTTGCAACTCATAATTAATGTGGTTTTTTACTGTTATTTTTCATTGTAAGACTTGTGATTTTAGAGAGGAGAGATAGTCAGCTAACTGCTTAATGTTCCTATGGATACCATATTGGTTTCCATTTGCACTTGTGTTTTCTATTGTTTTCTGCTAATTTAGCTTTAGATGTCCTAAACAACTCTCCCTCGGGTGCATTTGCAAAGTTTAGTAAATTATCCTGCCAGGAAGTTTCTTGTGCTATTAATTTTAAATTTCCTTCTTCTCAATTTCATTCCATTACCCCAGCTATGCATTTCCTGTATTTTCCAAATAATTCCTTCATCTTCTGTGTGTTTATACTTCTCACATACTTGTGGTAATTGTGTCAGTCCTGTTATTATTTCATTACCATAGTCATGCTTACCTCCTTGAACCTTTCCTTGAATCAGTTGAATTGTGTCCTTTATCAGTCCATGTCTTTAGGTTATCTTGATTTGACAAGATGCTTCTGATTAAAAGAGTCCCAGTATTTCATGTTTGTATGACTCTTAAAATACTTGTGACTCATAGACCACACAATCAATTTAAGACAGAAGTTATCAGCTGCTGTTGTAAAAACTATTTACTATGTGCTAGTTTTTATTACTAGTTATTTATCCTAGGAGTATTTGCAGTCGTGCAGAATGTCTAAGGTATGTTTAAGCACTGCATAAATGTGAATTTGCCAGTCAACTTTGCCATATTCAGATATGCCTACATGTAGGAAGTATCATATTACCTTGATGACCTGTACCTGGCATATGGTTGTATGCAGACAGCCTCTTGTATCTATGAAAGAACTGTTATTATTTATGCCGTTGACTTGCAAAATTCCCACTATTAAACACTTCTGTGGTTTTAGTGAGTGGCTTTTTGCCAGATGTTATAATGTGTACATTATAGTGCATTGTATCCAAACCCTCTACCCTATTCCCAAATTGTGAATCATTAGTTAGCCTTCCAGTGTGAGTAACCTCTGTGGACAACTGTGGTCAAGTCTTGGTTATTCTCCAAGCCAGAGTGGTATGGCATGTGAAAACAGAGGTTTTACATCAGTTGTTTAATCTTAATACTTCATACATTAGGGCCTGTGCCTTGTCAGTTTAGTCCTGTTGTCATGGGATTTTAGTTCACAGACACTGTATGAGCAGCAAAAATATTTCAAAACAATCCGATGCACGTGCACCCAGGTAGGAAGAATGCGGAAGAATACGTAACCAAAAAGTACTGCTACCTAAGATGTACTACCTATCTGAAAAAGGACCTGCCTGGTGAAAATACCACATGGAAATACGTAGCCTATTTAGAGCAACACATTCCAAAACACAGGTGCTACGTTGCTGGGCAATTCTGGAAAACCCTAAGATAGGTAGGTTCCTTAAGCACAATGTGTTTGTTTCACAAGGCATTCTTTTGGTTTTGTTTTGTAGCCTAACAGCAGTGGTCAAGTAGTAGGGAAAGTGCCTGGCCATTTTACTCCAGTTTTGGCACCCTCTCCCCATCACAGTGCGGTGCGACCTGTGACCCTGACCATGACAGATACTAAACCCATCACTACATCCACTGAAGGTGAGGCATCTTCACCTACAGCAACCAGTAAGTATTTCTTTAGGAAACAAAAAATGTCCATCAAAGATTTGATATGATTTCAAATTCAGGCCAGAAAAAGGCGTCTTTTCCTACTATTTGACCAAATGGGTGCTCATCATTTTACATGGAGAGCAAACATGATCTGAGTGCAAAGCTTTTCCTCCCAAAATTTTAACTGATGGATCATGTTGCATGAACCAAAGTTTGTGACATGACAAGCAAAATGAAAGGGAAAACCCTGCATATTTGACCACTATTCAAGGAAAAGAAAATGTGTTTTTTCATCTGAGGTGGACATTGTTAAGACATTGAGAAGCACACCCAGACAGTAAGGTTTTACAATGACCCAGAGATGGAATTCCAAAGAGGGACTGGATAACTTGCTCCTCAATGAACTTTCCTACAGAAATCAAACCTTGTTACAACACTGAATCTGAGCTATGATAATTGCATGTTAATATAGGTTGTGTCATTTTTAGCAAAAACAACTGTTGTGGCAAAAGAAAATTTTCATTCCTTGTCATTTCTGCAAGGGATGGTAGATCCACTGTTTGTACTTGTTTTTTAAAATAGAAAGTAACAAACTCTAACTTCAATGTTTTAATCTCTTTACTACATACAGGATCGTGTTATTTGTCCTATTATCTTCAATGGAATTGCAGTTCTAGAAATAAGGGCAAATATCTAGACTAATTTCTTCCCTTCAGAGTATTCATGACAAGTGGTGCAGAATGTTGCAATTCAACTGTATTCTGAATTTCTGTTTTCCTTGAACTTTTATTTGGATTTGGGATGGCCAGTGTTACCACTATTTATCAGAGAGGTGAAGAGTTTTAGAGGACACGTCCAGATTCTTGGAAAAAAAAAAAACCTCACCAGTCTTTAAAAGTATTAGTTGCTTCAGGATTTGTAAAAATGAAAATTACTTGTTCTAGACCTACTTAATATTTGAACTTCAAATACAGTCCCTAACTATTGGTCTGTCATTAATGGAGACCATAAACAGTATCCTTTTCAGCTGTTATACCACTTTAAAACTTATCTGAGGAAAAGATGAGACTCAAAGGCATAATATGTAAAAGAGAAAAGTATTTGTTATAAGATAGTAGTAGTAGCTTTTGGAGAAACTACGGCTCAAGTATTAAAAATTAAGAAAAAATATGTGTTTGTGGCAGCATTTTATCTGCCCTTTCAGTTATATTAGTTTTGTTAAGAGCTCTTAAGTATATTAGTCTTGTTAAAAGTATATCTGTAGCCCCACTGCTGATTTGTGGTACAGTTTTTTAGCAGCAACGTAGAAGCTGTTGCTCTAAATGTTTGCACCAGAACAAAAAACAGAGACAACTAAGTACTTGTACAGATTCAAGTATTTGTGGTTTCATTCTCCTTTGACATGATTGTGCTTGGCCTACATATCTCTCTTAGATTAGGTCAGGGTTTCTGATAAAAATGGCAAAAAGAACACAGTAAATGCCAGAACTGTTTTGGGATGTTTTCTGGTAATATGACCTTATAATCATCATTATAGAAAAGCATACCTAATCTGTACATTGTTCTACTACCAAGGGAACTATTTGGATCATATTTTCCAATTAAATCATCATCCAGTTTCTTGTGCAACTCATGGTGATTCCTGCTGAACCTTTAGAACATCTTGGCTTAGATAGCTAAATTAAGGCTTCCTTCATGCTTCCATATTAGTTTCCAAGTAAATTCTTGCCACTACAGCACATAAAAATAACAACAGAAAAAATTCCTATATGCAAATTTTATTTGAATGTTGCCATACTGCCTACAAGATAGTGTATAACACCTCACCAGCTCAGGATGTTATGATTTTTGGAAAACTACATTAGTCTGGCTTGGTAACTGTAAGAGCATAAAAAAATGAAAAACTATAGTTTGTTGATGATGAAAATAACAATAATCTGAGGGATAATGTCCTTGTGATATATAAATTATTTATGAATACATATAAACTCTATTATCAGTCAAACTATTATCAGTCACAATAGGTTCACCACACTCAATACTGATGTAAACTTAATTGGAAAATAAACATTAAACCTACTTTATGGCATAGTTTTACTTTTATTTGTAGTGATTGACCGATTGAATGATTCAAAATACATATAGTAATGTATTTATATAACTTGGACAAAAAACTATCATAATTATTCAGTATGATGAAAATAAGTCAGTAAATGATTAGCACTGCTTTTCATTCTGAAGTTCTAAGCAGGATTTTTATTAATGAGAAAGAACATCAGGCTTTAATAATATTTATGGAACCCTGTGGCCTCCATCATAGTTTTCTTCAAATACTTGGTTAATTTGTCGGACAATTTTTCAGTAAAGCCTGTTTATTATATATAGAATTTTTTATAATGAATGCATTTTCTTGGGTTTTTTTTTACATGTGAACTTAATATTAGAAGGTCAGTTTAGTAAGTATTGTCATCTCGCTTCTCACTGGCAAGCTTCTATGTGTCTGTCCAGTTTTAGCAGTTTTGCTACGACATCTTTGCTATTTTTCCAGCAAATTTCCAGGCTGTGACAGATTGCAGTGTGGACATCTACAAACTGGGAAGTTGAGTAAGACCACCTAACTAATTTGATAAGTGCCACTAAAAGACATGAGAACATAATGACTTTTAGAAATTACTGGGAGAGACCAGAGAGGAATTTGTCCTACAGGTGAAGCATACATTCTCTGTAGCTAATCCCAGCATCACTTGACATTCTCATTCTCCTCAGAAATTTCAATCTTCTGAAGTGAGAGAATTATTTTAGTAGCTCCCCTCAGAAAAAATTGTTTTCTGATGTATGGTGGAGTTGAATATTTTCTGTTATATTGCGCAGTAAGAATTAGCTCCCTTCTTAGGAAAATATTAATCAGATTATATCCCATTACTGCAAAGATTCATTTCATGCCACATAAGTAAACCAAAAATTTTATTCTAATTTATGTTCTTTTACAGTTATTTGGTACTTTCTTGGTAAAAACAGGGCCTTTACAGAAATAAAAATAATGCGATCATGAACATTTTCTCTCAGCTTTGCAATTTCAGTGATTTTACAGTTGCTTTAGATTGGTATAATGGAATTTAAAAGTAGTGTGATTAGTTAAAATAAATTATGAAATAATTTGAACAAAAATAATCAAAGAAACTACTATTGTCAAGAGACATCATTATGATTTACACATGCAGCTTCCATTGAAGTTTATAGGAATTTACACATGCATTTCCAAATTTGGTCCAATATTTCTTTTGCTTTCTCTTAAAGAAAAGCCAAAGACACTTCCTATATATATTGCAAAATCATAACTCTGGATCTCATATTTGTACTGTACCTGCACAAGGTAATAGATATGATAGGTTGGTATTTTTATCAATATGTTTTGTTCTTCCTTAATCAGCCTACACAGCCTCAGGCACATCCCAAGCCAATCGATATGTGGGACTAAGCCCAAGAGACCCATCCTTCCTACACCAGCAACAGGTGGGCAAGTTTCACATAGGTGTAATGCTGTAGAGAAGATTTTGTGATATTACCTTCCTACATGTTGCCACTGGTATCTTGGACTAGCCTGAAATCTTGAGGTTTTCAGTATTTGTCACAAGAAGATGATGTTTATTCAAAACAAATTGAATGCTTTAAGAATTATCAATTTAGACTATTCTTTCTTTCTTAGATTTGTCCCATCTTAAGGAACTCTTGATATGTTTCTTTCAATATTTTATTTTTCAAGAGTTCATACATTTAATCTTTAATAGGATTTTAGGAAGTAGAATAAGGTATTTAAGAAATAAATACAAATTTCAAAATCAATTTATAAAAACAAGCAAAACTTTCAAAGTAATACAGTTTATTATTTTCAAGTTTTGTTTCCTTTTCCTCTAGATGTTTGACACATTTCTTCATTTTAGTTTTAGAAGATTAATTATAAAACTGAATTCTCAAGGCAACACATAATTTCTAGTGTAATAGATTTAAATTGGTCTGCTGATTTCAAACGTGCCAAAGCCACATTTTTATTCTAGTTTCTTACATCATTCATATTGCAAGTAGCATTGTAAATTTCACATCTCATTAATGCGGTAAATTTAATGCAAATGAAATGTTTACCCAAACTGTGAAAATATAGAGCTGAGATTAATCACGACATACAAATAAATTAGCTGCAGTCACTAGCAAGGCCATGCACATACAGAAATGGTACATTTCAAAAATAAATTCAGACACTTTAGAATTTTAATGTACTTTATGATATGTGTTTGTATTCCTCTTAGATCTTAACAGTATAAGACTTTGAAGTTCACACAAAAGTTACAAGGACAAAAGCTGAATGTGATAATAAGAAAGAGGGTGTTAAATAGGTCTTGGTATTTGTTGTACTGTATTTTTTTCTCAGACTTGTGTTCCTGTCAGCAGCTTATATGCATTTTTTTTTAATTTTTCAGTTAAACCTACAAACATTCTATATTGTTGAGATACAGCTGACCTATGCTTCAGCTGAAACTCCCTATCCAAAACCAATCCCATGGCAAGGAGGCAGTATGTCCATTTTAAAGGTCACCACATGCAGAGTTCAGAGAAAATCATAAAGAGGATAATATATTTAAAAATAGCTGATGCCAACTATTTTTTTTAACTAGTAACACTTAAATTCAAACATCTGTACACTTTTATTTTGAAAATACGTGTTTTTTCCAGCCATTAATTTCTCAATAACTTTTCTGGCATATTGTTTTGTTGGGTTTTTTAACCTCTCAAAGATTTTTTTATTATGAGATATGTTGTAATGACTATGAAATATTTTTTTTCAAGATACACAACATATATTATTGTTTTTTAAAGCACACACAACACCTCTCTTCTATGCACAGTGAATGTAATTTGTGGAGATCTTGTGAAGTCTTATATAGTGCTCTTTGGAATGTCTCTGACATCCTGTTAATTTAGGGATGTACAATATATTTTTTCCCCTCTGTATTTCTGGACACAATTTTTTCTGCAGACTGCTCTTACTTAGGCCTACTCCACCTTCCAAGCTCATTGAAAGACTTCTAAATTCTCATCACATGCCAGAAAGTAGTAGAAGCCTATTTAATTTTCTCCTGGCTGAATTTGACATATTCTATTGTTGTCTTCTATTTATTTTTGTCTTTGTGTAGATCAAAATAGATTTCAAAATTTCAGCAGTGTCTTTGGAACATCAGAATGAGAGGGATCTCAAAGGTCTTTGGTATTTTACATGCGTTGTGTCTGATACTCCCTTTCATGATAAAACATGTGGCCAAATGGCTTAAAGGAAGGGGAAACTAAGCTAAATCTCACATATTCTTCAGAAGCAGAAAAATTATGTAATGCTACTATGTTAAACCAATATTCCCCTTTTTAAAGTGTATTGCTTCATAGTGTCATTATATTAATCCAAGAGCATCAATTGGTGACCAATGAGCCATGTAATATATTTTAAAAATATCAGTGCTTTATTGTCTTTGCTCTTAACTCACTAGTCTCTTCTAATATATGCAATGTCCATTTGCAATGGACATATCTGTGTTTGCCTGAGTGTGTTTGTCTGTATGAATGCCTACAGATACATAGAAAATTAAGGAGTAGCATGCACAACTGAAACTATTTGAAAAAACAGAATGCTTAAAGTGTAAAGCTTTTCAGATGGATAAATATGAACATATAAGTATGTATAGGTATGTTTCTAATGAATTAGTTACCTTCACTCCATTCTAAAGGTGACATACAGAGATGACAGACTATATATACACACACACATATATATAACCCATAAAGTAAGGTAGAGCATTGAGATTATCTAAACAACTTCAATGGAGCAAAGGTTATCCTTCGGTAAGGCAGAAATGGGATTGATTTACTATGTGCTTTCATTACTTTACAACAATATGAAAGAGACCACTCTTCTTGTACCAGATTTTAAATGCATTTGCTTTAAAGCAACCTATGATGAATGAAAAGAAAAATCAAGGGGTATGTGAAATAAGGCAATTAATCATTTTGTATTAATGGAGAGAAATTTTCAATTAGAAAGCCACTGGTTTTAGTTCCAGAGAGATCTTTTAAACATTCCCCCCTGTAATGCCCAGTGACCCCTCAAGAATAAATATTGTCACCAGTACTTTCTTTACTTAATTGGAGGAGTATTTATGAAGATTCATTTTCTCTGATTATGAGAAATATTAGCAAATACCCTTGAGTAGTTTTTGTTGCTGTTAAAAAGAGCCATTTAAATTACAGCAACCACAATAAATTTAAAAGTTACACATGTATTTTGCAACATACACTCACATCGAGTCCTGACAGAGTGATAGCTTTCTAGAAATTCCAGTAAACCATGTATAGGACAGCATACCCAAAATACTCACATTTAGATGAGAAGCACTGAAAAAAACTTTGAAAGACAATATATGATAGGGCTAGTGAGAGAATTTGTTGGCTTTTACTGATCTGGATACTGTGAAATTGTGATGTTATATGCATTACTTAGCCTGTAACATTGATAATTAGAAAGACTAGATTTTAATGGGGTATTATAACTATGCAGTCAATTTTCTGATGCACTAGCTGGTGGATCTTCTCATTACTTGCCTTGAAATGCCAGCTATTTCTATGCTGTAGCATAAATAGTTACAAAAAATAACATCTTGCTTCAATGGCATTTGGAGAGTCATAAATATCTTGGCATTTTCTTGTAAAAAATTCATATCGGACCTCCTCTTTCTATTAGAAATTATTAATGACCACTCATTTTTCTTTTTTTGATTTGCCATCAGCTTCTGAGAATTGTTGAGTGTTAATAATGTAACTGTAGTAACAACACCATGGGAGAGAGCAAGGGACATGATAAGAGCTAGTACCTGAATTAGATAGTTTTTCTTAATTTTATTGTTGGTCATTGGTGGAAGTATTTTCTGAACCCAAATCTATTGCTCAGTGTTCTTTATCTCTGCTGAGAAATATCCTAGGTAAATTAAATAAAAGTTGGATAATCTTTGCAATTATATGGGTGCACCTTCATTCTCCTGCCCCCATTAATTTGCATTTATTGAAGATTTATGATTTCTAAGCCTAGACTAGAGGAAATAACCAACAAGCCAACAAACTGAGCAAGGTCAGTCAAATTCTACCTTCCATAAGTGGACACAATTCCTTGCCAGATTCTAGTTGTGTCTGCATTCTTTTGGCTAAGTAACTTTAATGGCAAGATCATTAGTTCAGTAACAAAGTCTTAATGATCAGGATCCTCATGGTTATGTCATGACATTTCTTTAGCCTCCCTGTGCCATGGTCCTCCAACTTCATGGATTTATTATGGTATTGAAATGACAAACACCTAAAGTCAGGTTATGTTGTTTCTGGCAATAATGCTAGGATTGCCAGAAATACTAGTCATATACTTTGCCTGTGTAAATAGTTTAAAAACATGGGTGGATGGATGGATGGATGGATGGATGGATGGATGGATGGATGGATGGATACATAGTTCTATTTATTGCAAGTGGAGATGAATGGTATCACAAAAAAAAATAAGATTTCTGTTGGAATGAATGAAATAACTGCAAGGTTTTTGTTCTTGACCATTTAATTTTAGTGCACCTCTGAGCCTCATATGGATAATTCTATTTTAAATTAGAAAACATAAATAAATGGAATAGCTATTAAAGTTAACAATAGTCTAAACTTTCACCATGTTAACTAATGCTGGTGCAATTGCTGAGGACTTAATGAACTCTTCGAATTTTTGCACTGATAAACTCAGTGTCATGGTTTTCACTAAAGCTTGCACTTTCTGGGTATGGTATGTTGCATTCATGATTTTCACACAGATTTTACAATTATGAGTGAGACCTTTCCAATAAACATAGTAGTAATGTCTCCAAAATTATCAGAAAACTGTAGATAGCTTTCTATTTCCTACAAATGCCTTCCTGTCTCTTCAGTAGAAATTTCTTCTTGCCAGATGCATCCTTTAGTTACTGATCTGCACAGTTCAAAATGTAGTTCTCTTCATTCTATTAATCATGGAAATTGTGAACTTAAATGTCCACTGAACACAGAGTATTTGTTTACAAAATGTTTTGAGTGGATGTTACTTTTACGTTCAGCAGCAGGCTGAAAGAAGAACACAGGCGGACTCCTAAAGAGAACGTGTCAGTAAAGTCAGGAAACAGGTTATCAACACTTAGCCTGTTCTTATTGTGTCCCTTATCATAATTGACAGTTTGACGTAAAACTGGGTCACATGATTGCCAGGGAGGTATGTAAATGGCTAAGAGGTCACCTTTCACATAAGCTTGCTGGAAAGGAAACACATTTAAAGGAAGTTTCAGTCAGAACAATGACAATATGCAAATGTTAAATTTTATGGGCTTTTCTCAACTAACAGAAGCTATAGCAGTCTCCTATTACACTTTCCAAAATACAATCCTTCTTGCACTAGCTATTGCAGAAAATTGAAATGAATGTTAGTCTTAGCCATTCCTTGGATACAAGACTACAAAATCTGCTTAAATACTAACGCCTTAAAATCATTCATACTATGATTAAAGATTGAGCTGTTGGGCTGTGGGTTTTTAATGTATGTGTGATTTGCATACTTAAAACACTGCAGGATGGTTGTGCTTGCAAAGTGCTGTTTAAACTGTGAAGACAGCTATAGTAAAATCTAGCACTTGGGTAGAACTTCACATCAATATGTCTCACAGCTCTGGAAAGTGCAAAACAAAATCAATTTCCAGGCATATTACAGAGCCGAAGCACTAAGTCTACTGCTTTGCTTATCTCCCGTGTCCATCTCCAAGCTTGTGTTCCCTTCCTGTAAAATGTCTGCGGTGAATGAGGGAGTTGCACTGCCTCCCAGGAGAAACACATGCAGTGGGCCTTGTGGCCTCAGCTGCTTCATGACTGCAGCAGAGGGGATGCATCACAGGCATAAGGGCAGAGCCTGGGATCCGATCCAGGACTAGGAAACTGCCTGGGCTATCTGTGAGGATTCCTCATCTCCTGCAAGGCTGAGAATTCTTTTCTGCTTCATAATATAAACTCATCCTCTTTCTCTTGTGGTTAAATGAGAGATAAATAAGAAAATAATAGATAGTGTTTTGAGGATGGAAGATGTTACGGTAGTGCGGTTCCTGTGGCTTGCTTTGCTAAAAATGCACAGAACTGTGGACTGAAGGTCACGTCTTTTCAACAACCTTCTAGGGAAGACTTTTCACCATGTCATATGTCAAGTCAGTTGATTTATTTTTCATTCATAACCTACATTTGAGACAATTAGTAATATTTTCAGCAGTTACTAGATATATCCTGGGGACCATTTCTTATGTCTCTCAACTGAGGAATGTAAGTTTTCTTAAGTAGTTTCCTGCCTGTCCTCTTAACATATCCTGCAGAGAAACACCTTTAGGATAGCTTATAGTGGGTAGCAGTGACTGTGCCTTCTCCTCTCCAGCTAACACTATGGCATGATTTTAGAGGTACCTAGGTTAGTCTGAGGAGAATAACTGGACAGGAAGCTTTCAGTCTTACTCCACATGACATATAGCACTTAAAATACTGTAGTGAAGTACCTTATGTCCTTCCAAAGCTTGGTACTCATGTCATGTCTGTGCACCCAATCTTTCCATCTGGGCTATGTGGACATCCTCCCGCGGCACCCTCCCATTGCTGCTGTGAACAGGCTTCTTCCATTAAAAGGAGCCCAGTCTTTCAGACCTCTATTAAATTCTACAGTATTTTTACCCAGAAGCCAGTCAACACATGCAATGGATACAGATGCAGACTTTGGAAGTGATATTTCTATGTCTTATACATGCAGAGATCTTTCAGTAGGAGTGATTTGGGAAAGGAAGATTGTGAGGGAGATTTTAAAAAAGTAAAAATTCCAAGCTGGTCAATTTTAAAAGACAATCAGGCAGCTACGTGAGCCTACTGAGGAATGTGGAGCAGCAGTTTTTTACATTGAGAAGGTGTATTTCAGTACAACTAGTACAGCCCTGGGCTTGTCACAGAGCCAGCTGTCATGCAAACCTGCACATCTCCACGGTATTGTCAGTACTGCAAGTATGGCACAATTGGTGCAGTGAATAGCAATACAGTACTACCTGTGAGTCTTGTGGAGCATGAACCTTCATATAAATGCACATGTATGTGCATGCCTACAGATTAGGTGTCAAATGCACATGTTGCATTATTATCTTCTCACTATTTGGCTGTATGTGAATTGAGGTACACGTGACTGTATATAATAAGCAGCATTCCATTACTAACATTTATGAAACATGTTTCAAAAACTTTATGGTGGTTTCTTAATGATAAATTTAACACAACAACTGTATGTGTGGAAAGTTTTCATACAGACTGTGGAAAGAATACAATGATATAGTGCAGAAGCTAATTTACTAAAACGCAATATATCAGTCTCTTACTGTTTTCCCTAAATGGCAAATGCAATTAGGTTCTATATAACAAGCTAAGTGCTTGCCAGATTTTTGATTCAGACCTAAGTGAATATAATAATTTGGTAATGCTAAGTTTGTTATTTTAGTATATTTATAATGGTTCTAATCAGCCAAAGGGTGTTTATTAATATATTTTATATTTTGTGAAGAAGTAAAAAAGGGGGATGGGTGGGAGGGTTTAACCTTTCAGTCTTTTGTTTCAGATACAAGTGAGTTTTTATAGCTAAGTTAAGAAGCTCTAAAATATGCATTTGTAGTGAAGATGATGACATCCTTAAGGATAATAACAGAAATATGTCTACTGTACATTGAGTAATTGGGCTGACATATTTTATTATGTTTTCATTGTTAAAATCAAGCTCAGGATCCTGTTTTATATAGTGACTGTATCAAATATTTACTTACCCATTTCTTTAAACATGTTTAATATATTATTCACAGTTACCTCTAACTTTTTAACTGCATGTTTCCTTTTCTGGTTAATTTCATGTGGTTTAGTCATGCTTTCAATGGCCTTTAGAAGGTCCCTTGGAGTTCTTTAGACAACAAACAAGAAACAATCCCTATGAAAACATCAAAGACTAACATTTCCATTTCTCAGACCTTAACAGCAGGAAGCTTATTAGTCTAACAGCCAGACAGGGTCAGGTTTGCAATATTGTCTTGTCCTCAGCATTTGTATTTTTCAGGAAAAGACTGCAATAAATTGTGCTCCTGTGAAAACAGTTTATTGTAGTTTGTTTGCTGTAGCTTGTGCAATCTCAAGAATGTGAACATGGATAGAGAAAACTAAAATGCATTGAATGCAATTAAACTCAAAAACATTATCTTCAGAATGTCTAATCATATATAATAGTACAGCAATTTATATAAACATGACAACATAGAGGATAAAATGTATATTTTCTTCAGAAGCCAGATAAACTCACTTTCTTAACCTTAATAATATGCAGCATGTATTTTCAATAAATCTGCTAACACTATTGGGCAGATGTTAAATAAGCAGAGCTGCTGAGGGTTGCTTGAACAATCTGTGAAGGCAGAACTGATGATTTGAGGATCTGTGAAGAATTTTTTTCAGCTAATATTTAGTTCATTTGTCATTCTATTAAAATGCAGTAAAGTATTTTAAATTCTACTTTTCTGAGTCTGAACATGATTAGATTATTTTATCACCTCTTGCTAAGTAATACCACTTCCAGTAACACTAGATTAATAAACTTCAGTTACAAAATATCTTTTCTCTTATTAAATAGCAAGATAATAATATACAATTTATTTAATTTTGGAAAACTTTCTATAAATTGCATGTCATCTATATTTATCAAAAAGCATGCTAGAAGATATTTATTATATTTTACTTTACTAAATAAACTTTATATAGAGCACCACTTAAAAAGCCAGCATAATTATTTCTTTTCTTAAAGTATCACACTATTTATTATTAACACTTCCTTTTATTCCAGCTCAGTTTGTAATCTAATAATGACTAATTGTTATGTGCTACACACTAGCTACTCTTTTATGCTTTATTAATAGTGGACCTATTTAAGTGGCATTATATTAGACAAGTCTATAGGCATTTATTTCTCAAAATAAGTTATTTTCTTTGTTTTGTTTTTTTAAAGTTACTTATTGGGAAAGTAAGACTTTTGCCATGTACAGTACTAGTTTGCATGTATTAATTTAAATACTAAAAACTGTAGTATGCTCGATCCATATCTGACTGCTAGGTTTCAATTGACAGCTGAGAATTTGTGACTGGACCATGAATCAAAACGGCAGGCATTTATACCCCAGTGCCAATGAGGATACATTGGGAATTACTTGGCAAAGGTAACATTTTAATTATTTCCACCCCTACACCACCTCTAAAAAAGTTGTATAGAGCAACTATATCTGTTTAGTGGGCCTCCAGAGGTATATGTGACAGCATTGTGGTCAAAATACGCGTGTAACATTTCTCCTAAATGCATTCAGGTTATCTTTCACATAAGTTGACTTTAGATGATCCCTTAATGAAATAACATCATGCTGTCCTATGCAAAGGGTTTGTGAGTTGAAGGAAATACTGATCTTAGGCTTTAAAAATGTCATTTTCTCTCATATTTTTGGGACTGATTTTTTTAACAGAAAGATAACGGTGCTGTTAGGGGTATAGAGTATAATACTAAATTGCTGAGGTGGTGTTTGGTTTTGGGTAAAGAATAACTATATTATTCATAGAGACATTTCTTACCAATTGGCTGGTGTAGTTTTAGGTCACTAAAATATACCTGAAGGTAAGATATAAACCATCTTATTTTTCTACTAGATAATGGAAAAATTTGGAATGATTTACAAAAAAAAGTGTTTCTTTTTCTATGATCCCACCCTTTCCTCCCCCCACCAAATAAACCAAACAATAAACTCCATTAACATTTAATATATTATTAATTTATTAGATTTTACATCTCTTGGTATAAAGTGGATTATGGTAACAGCAGAGGGTGTATGTTTATCTAAATAGGCATATAAACTAATCAACATAATTTTGATACTTCAGTTTTCATCTTTTTCATGTACAGGATTATCTGCAGCACTTAACACTCAATGAGAGTTGTCCATGTAAATCTTGTAGGTTGGGAGTCTATCAGATGAAGTGTTAACCACTCACTCATGATATAATTTAAAATATTTTATATGAATTTGTGAAAATTGAAAATGAAATTTTTCAATGAAAATATATGTTCTTGTGAATAGCTAATGTAAGTATGTGTGTGAGTGTAATTTATATGTACTATATACAAGATGCCTTTTGATGCATTGTACTGATGGTGCTATGGATTACTAAAAGTTTTGGGATTTTTGAGTATCAGCTTGGAAGGGAAATTACTGAATTTGAAAATTGGTGCCATTTACAAATCTGAAATTTAATTTCTTCTGTTTTTTTTTAAATAATTTTTATGAAATAATGTTTTATATATGGAAGAATTGTGGCAGTAAAATAAGGCCTTGTGATTTTTTTCCTTACATATTAGAGACTACAATGGAAAATTAGCTAATGGATTCACCTCATCTCCTCGAGGGCTGTGATTCACATAACAAATCCCCATCATGCAGTAATTGGCAGAGATTTCAATGTACTGCCAGGAGTGAATCCAAACTGAGCTTTTATAGCACAGAGGGGATGATATATTTTCCCACAACAAAGTGATATTTTTCAGGGCATTGACAGGCATTAGAAAATTACATCACAGCAACCTATCTAGGAACATCCTCACACAGTTTTAATCAGTTGTCACTTGAGCACCCCTTAAAGCAATGCTCTTATACTGATAGAAACACTGTCCTAGTATTTGGTGAATTCTGTTTTTCAGTACCATCATACAACACCCTGGGCATAAATTGTGAAAAGAAAGGAAAAGAGGGGGAAAACATTTCTGTGTGATGATCAAGAGAACTTTGGTGGTGACTGAAAGCCTGCTCCACAATCCATTCACTGTTACAGACCACACTGCTTTGCAGAGCACTCCCAGAACGCTGCCTTGCCACTGTGACCCTACCAACAAACACAAGCACTGCCAGAAGAGCTTGGGTACAAATTCTACCATGGGTATTTCCTTAGAGGCCTGGGTTATGCCACTTGCTCTTGGATTATGTACAGCCTTGAAGGACAAAGAAATAAACGGTTTTGCCTAAGCAGATGGCTTTTAGTTGTTGGGTTTTTAAATATGGCTTTTTTTCAAATCCCACAGAAATGAGGACCTAAGAAGAGAAATTATATCTGCACAGGCTAAGGAGCAGTGAGCCTTTCTAACACTAAAACTAATGTTAAAAACCAAGAATTTGATGCAAAAGTAATTGTCACATGTTGGCAAAGAAATATGTCCCAATCCAAACAAATTTCTGCAACTCCAAATGGTTTGATAAATGCTTGATTATGTGCTTGATATATGCTTGATTATCCTTAAATCAGCAGAGGTCAGTTTGATTGTACTCAACCTTACCTTTTACATCAGGCTTTTGTGGTTAAGTATACTGATTTTTCAGAAGGGTTATTGACCTCAGGCAGGTGAAAAAGTTGGCAGTCCCTCAGTGCTAGCTGTCTCTACAGATACCAGGTATCAGATATGGTCAGGTTGAAAGCTTTGTCATCAAGCATTGCTGGTGAGCCACACCTTGGAAGTTTGGGGAAAGTGAATGACAAAAACCTTCTGTTATTTCTGTGTGTTTTTGTCTTATTAATAATTGTCTGTCTCACCTCATGGTAGGTACAACGCATAGATTTCAAAATGTTTTTGTTTTGCTTCATTTCCTTAGAAAATTATGTATCTGTTGGCATTTTACAATTCAGGTATAAGACAGTAGTGGTGTGTATGCAAAAGCTGAACTTTGCAGAAAAAAAGAGAATATGAATAACACTAAACAAAAAAAGGACCAACAAGCCACAAAATCTTAGATCACTGATACATCATTTTCTACAAAACCAGAAGACTTGAAGTGAAAAATTATAACAAAAATTAGATTAATACTCTGTGTAGCTGAGTTAAACATTCTAGTATATTTAAAGGAAATACTTATATTAAACATTCAGTAAGCATCCTATAAAACCCAAAATAAAATGGAAAAAAAACCCATCCCACTTTTTTGGTGAAGTATTTAGGAGTAGTAATTTTTACTTTGCTCCTCATACCAAACCATCTACAACTTTTGTTTGGCTTGGTTTGATTTTTTCCTTGCTTGCTTAGAACATTTATGGTACATATTTTGCAATTATATGACTTTTCGTATTTATTTATAAATGTAATTTTTTGTGTCTGCTGAATTTTGAACACCATTTAAACACATCAATAGAAATGAGCTCTCTAGTACTTTTATGATCATTTTGGTATTTTTTTTTGATGGGTTTTTAAATATAAGATATATATATGTGAAGAAGATACTCAAAACCATTAAAAATTCCCAAGTCCTTATGTTTTGGATAATGGCAGTTCTGTTTTCCTAGAGACAGCAGGCAAGGGAAAGCTGTGAAAATCTGTAAGGCTCATGTAGAAAAATACAGTCTCAGTCACTACATGAGGGCAAGAGTGTATGCAAAAAGTACATTTAAGAAACAAGTGAGAGTGACAAAAATTGTGTGTGTGTGTGTGTGTGTGTGTGTGTGTGTGTGTGAGGCCAGTTGCATAAATCTAAGCCACTCATTACACCACTGATGGTATTTCCAGTATAAATACTTATAAAAGCTGGCATGACAAGTCCCTCCTAGACCATGTGGAGTATTTGTAAGTCTTCCACAGACTGTTAGCAACTTTTCATTGCCAAAGTGTACATTTCAATTCAGCTATTGACAAATGTATTTTTATTTATGTTAATTCTTTTAACAATCATTCTGCATTAACTGTTTAACAGTACATTTACCCTATCCGGGAAAATGGACTGGGCTAGAATTTCATGCTTTCATTCTGTTATCTTGACACATCAGTGTAGTACAACAGCTGGCTCATTTGTGGAGATGCTGAGGGGAGCACTGTTCTCAGAGTGCTGAATTTCTTTCTCAGCTGTAGCTGTGGGGTTGCAGCATTTCAAGCATCATTCCTCCCCCTCCCACTCACCACCATCCCAGCACCACTATGTGTTTATGCTAACAGTGCTGATAAGGCAATCAAATGGGATAATCTGATTTATGAGAGAGAGAAGTCAGAGGGGAATTGAGAATGGGTGCATATTACTTTTGTTGCACAATATCTTGTACATATTTGTTATTGAGAAAACATATAGCTAAAATTACAAAGCCAGAAGCATGCCTGTGGAAGCACATTTTGGCAAACATAGACACCTGTTAGATAAGGAGCTAATACACTGTGACCTGTGTCTCTGCCTCATTCCTATCCCCAGCAATGGTTTGGAATAAAAAGTACCATTTCATTACAATTTAAGAACAAAGAGGCTGAAGCTTCCTGAGTGCAAAAATATTCACAGAGAGAAAATCTAATGATTTCATATTTTTATCAGTTTAAATTACTAATTCTAATAGTTTTGCACAGCTCTGTAATGCAGAATGATGTGCAGAACATCGTTTCCTCCCCATCCAGGCAAATATCTTCTGAACACTTCCTAAGAAATTAGTTGTATTCAAGCCAGACTTGCATGCTGCCATCCCACAGGAAATGGGTCAGCAATCCATTAAGATGCCATTAGATAATCTAATTTGGAACTTAATCTCTAAATTAACCATGCTCCATACTTGAAGCATACTTGAGAGAAAGAAAAAAAGTTTATGTTTGAATTGATAGGGGAGCCGAAGCGTGAAGAAGGCTGTTTGTTTTTTCTGTAGCTGTGGTCACGTCTCAAGCCGTCTGGTAACCAGGAGAAACCAGACATGATGTAATTCCAGATTGAACTTGAACTTCAGGGACTTAGAATGGGGGAACAATGGACCATAGGAATCAATAATGTCCATTTTCCACATGATTATGTTTGGAGCTTTAAGTTAAACTTTATGGGAGAAGCAACAAGAACTGCTGTGTGACCAAAATGAACGAGTTGATCTAGAAGCAAGATGTTAAAATAAAGATAACAACTTCAGTAATAATTTCTGAGCAGCACTGCAGATTCCAGCAGAATTAGAAAAGTTCTTGCTCTGCAGTAAACTGGTTGCCTGTTCTGAGATCTCTTTGTTCATTTAGGTGGGACAAACTTAATCTTATGTTTCCTGTCAGATGATTTTTGGCAGCTGCTAGGGAAGGAGGAGCATATTATAGAGAACTCCCAAGTGTAAACTGTATCTTTAACCCCTTGGTTACTCCAGCTTTCTACTTCCTTATCCTCTTACCTCCAATTGTTTCTCTTGAATC